AGGATTCAGTCTTGTTCTTCATGAGCTTCCGCAGTGGGACGTTACGCGACTATTTCTGTGCTATAACAAGGCGGACTATGCTTAAATTCGGAGCCTTTTATCCAACGCAGAATAGCCCCAAGCACGGGATGAGTTATTTGTGCATGAACACTGGGAAATGGTAAAAGAGATCATTTACACGGAGAACTCCGATGCCCACCCTTTAGTCACGATACAGCTCAAAAGAAAGTCATCTTGGTAGAAGAGAGGTGCGCAACGTATTCTGCAAGCAAAGCGGAAGGCTTGGTTTGCGTGGCGCGTATGCAAGAATCAGACCGACCATGAAACATACCTGGAACTCAGGAACCGGTGCAATGCTAGAGTCCGGGGTAATAGGAGGTCATTCCAGGCTAACCCTACCAAAAATCTATTGACGAACCTCAAAAGCTTATATAAATTTACGTTGGAAAGAAGACCAACCAACCAGGGGGGATCGCCTTAGTAGATCCGAACGGTCAATACCTCACTAGTATGGAGATGGCGGAAACGTTCAGTTTAGCCCTCGCCAAAGAGCGAAGCAGCAATGTGGGTATTACCTGTACGGACCAAACTGGCGACACCATTTCACCGGAGAGAGACCTAGTAGCTACTTCCCAAAATAAACCACAGAGACTCACACCTGGGTAGCCCCCAGGTTGTGACGACATCAGGCCATCTGTTCCGAAACAGTGCGCCGAAGCCCTCTGTAGGCCCTTATGCGACTTGTCTCAACAGTCTTTGAACCAAGGGAGTGGAAAAGAGCCATCCTTTCACCGATATTCAAGGGTAGGGATAGGCAGAATGCCAATAGTTATAGGCCAGTAGCTCTACTCCCAGTGGTATAAAAATTGCCGGAAAGTATTATTGATGATCACATGAGGGATTGCCTCGATAGGAATAATATACTGCATGAAGCCGAACACGGTTTCAGGATCATGTGTAACAAACCTTCTCTCATCTTGGGACGACCGGACATCATGCTAGGATGTGAATAATCCAGTCCATGTAGTCTTTCTAGACTTTGAGAAGGCACTGGACGCAGTTCATCATGACCTTCTCCTACAGAAAATAAGCCAGGTAGGCATAGGTAAGCCACTTTTGCCACAGTTAAAGGAATACCTAGCTGAAAGGAAATTTTACACTAAGGTGAATCGAGTCCGATAATCTTGGTACAGCTCGTCATCAGGAGTGTAGTAGGGTTCTATCCTAGGACCACTGATATGTTTGATTTTTGTCAATGATCTACCATGCCGTTTTAGCTGCCCGACTCTTCTATACGCTGACAACGTAAAGAATTGGAAGATAATAAAGTGTCCAGAAGACTCAGATAGGCTGCAGGTGGATCTAAAGGTTATGGCAGACTGGGCGGTGACCAATGGCATGACTTTCAACATTCTGTCTTTTAGTCTGAGTAAGTTCACTAATTATATCTATTATTATTATTATCTCTTTTCTTTTGACGATACCGGAGGACTAACTGTCGAAAGAATCAACTCCATTCACAGTAGTAACAGTCTTAACACACCTCATACTACAAACCACATATAATTAATCCCAGCACTACTCCTTTTGGAGTCAACCAAAGCTGCAACAGTCGAGTGGCGGGACGAGCTACGCAGTAGTTTACCGAAGATCAGGAACCTACACCTCACAATCAAGAGGCGAGCACAAAGAAATCCAATTGGTTTATATTAGCTCGTAGAAACGACATTGATTTTCGGAAGTGAATACCTGAAACCGCGCACTTTCCAAAGGTGAAGGTCTTTTGCTGCAAAGATAAGGTGGGGACGTTCTAGACGCATTTCGATGCATTATGAAATGATTCGTATGTATGTGGTTCCATTTCAGGGCCAACTTAAACTTAAACTAACACTAACTACAAATGGCATGCGACCGCACCAATGACTTTGAAACTCTTTCTGAACAATTGTTTAAATTAGTAAAACCCGGCATATAATGTTGTCATCATCAATAAAATTTGCTAATCGAAGTGTTATGCTATTAGATGGGATATATAGCAAGTTTTTTTATTAGGTTTGGGAAAGATTTAGTTGCCCTTTAAGCCAAAGACAAGTTAGGATTAAGTTAATCTAATGAAGGTGACATTAGGGTTGGTTCAAGTTAGATTACAGTTATAAATAAAGTTTAACTTTGTCTTTTAACGTAGTGAATCAGTCATTTCTGTATTTCTTTCATTTGTATTTCTGTAATAATAGCTATTTTAGTATATTTTACTATTTTAGTCAATGTAGCTACGGATATTTAACAATTCACGAGATGTTACATATAGTAGTCCTACAAGTAGCATATTAAGATTTCATTTCTGCTGCTAAAGGCACTTTAATTAAAAAGTTCATTGTGAAGTTATCAGTCCAACATTTCAATAGTGAACAACATTATATCTTTCTAACAGACACTAGAGTACTAAAATACTCAGTTTCGCTTATAACTTTTCACTTTAAATTTTGTATAACACAAACATACTCATACCTCCTGAAGCAGTTTACTTAGTTTTTATAGAATCCTAAATACTAATCCCATTAAATGAAGTATGTTCCGGAGAGTAAACAGAAGTTCTCAAGCAATATCGCGCTAAATTTCGTAACTAGTTAGTAAAAGATCTATTCACTCATCAGTATTATAATAGCAGATTTCAAAGTGCTTTCTGTTTGTCATGGTTACATCAGTAGAGATATTAATATACAATCGTTGGCACAATTGAAAAGACAAGTCAGTGAACGCATATTTGTAAATTATGATGAGAGATATGAATAAATGTTTCAAGAATGTCCTACCAATTGACTATTGCAAACATATTAGGCGTTGTTGTAATACAGTGTTATTCACATTAATTTCTGCCCGTGTATCTTGGTGATTAATTCGCACAGTCAGTTTGGAGAATCCGATTAAGCGTCTTACTCAACAATTACTTATAATCCCACTCAGTTGTCAAGAAGGTCGCCCAAAATTCTTTAGATGGAGTTGGGTTCGAATTCGCAACCTACTGGTTGGAAATCATGCGTATAAACTGATGATTCACAGCTACACTAGACCACATTGCTTACCAATCTAGTAGTGATTTTGCATTCATAATCTAATCAAATAATGGGATCAGTTTTGGCGTGGATAAAGTAATGACAAAGTTACTGGCTAGCACACCTTCATGTTTCAAAGGCAATATGTGTTCTTTCAAGATTGCATGTAACTTCACTTAGTTTCTTGTAGACTAATAACACTCAACTGAGAACAAGAAATAGAAATCTTAATTGACCTACAGTGGTACTTACATACAACTTGCAGTGAGTAACCAGTTTTGCACTGATGTGAATTGTAATACGGTTGAAACCAGGAGGTGAAATAAATCTCTAATCTAGTAACTTTTACTTGAAAATAAAGGACATAACCCTGTCTGTCTGTCTGTTTTCGACATAGAACTTTGCATATATGTGCGGCTGTTCAAGTCGCCACACACCTCCATGTAGCACACAAAGCAACAGAAGAAAGTAGAAGAAATGCATATTGGAGACAGTAAACAGAGGTTTGAGACAAAGGAATAGTAATAACGAAGAACAAAACAGTTTCATTGGAAGTCATAAGTCACAAGGAGTGGATGCATCTGCGCCAGCCATTGAGAACGATTTTGAGCCATGTCACCAATTGTTTCCAGCCTTCATTGGTTTTTACCGTTCCGAGGACCCCAACCAGTCAGGAAGTCTACACCTTCCTACGTGGCTAGCTTAAACTAACTGTTGTGGATTTCATTGACTGGTGCCGCAATGTTTTGGTTTGACCTCCGCTAGCTCTTTTCCAGCCTGACCCTATATCAGCTAACATTGCCCATCGGTCGAGGAAGGCGATGACTAGGCATACGTAACACATATCCTAACCACCTCAGTCAATGTAATTTCACAGCCTAATCGATTGATTTCCGCTCCTTACCTAGCACTCAACCGGTGCCTAACCTCAATATTGCTCATCTTATTAAGCAACTTAATACAAGAGATAGAACGCAGGCACCTATGATCGAAGACAGCTAACCAGGCTTTTCATGTCTTCCACTCTCAATGGCCAGGTCTCGCTCACAGCCATAAAGCAGGACGGAGCGGACTTCTGAGCAGTACACCTACCCTTTGGTCGATAGTCGAATATCTCGTCTACGCCGGAGACGGCGTAAACTGGAAAATGCGAAACGAGCCCCCTGTATCCGTGCTGAGATTTCGTCAGAGATCAACCCGTTGGGGCTAGTGGTACTTCCCAAATAAGTGAAGCGGCCAACGTGCTCTAACACTTCACTTCCTCTTTCTAATCTAGGAGTCGGTGTAGTCCAGTCCTGTAACATCATCTTGCATTTGGTGGAAGCGAATCGCATGCTGAACATTCTTAGATTGCAGCTCAAGGTGTTTAGAAGACTGCATTTTGTCAGCGTCCTCGCCTAGAAGGACCTTATCGTCTGCATATTCCAAGTCAACGAGATTATTCTCTGGTAGCAAGTCAATCCCTGAGTCGCTGAAGTCACTTAAGGTTAAGTCCATTAGTACATCTATGATGAAGTTGAATAGAGAATGGGATAATGGGCATTCTTGACGGACACCACTAGTCGTCACCATTTCATGAGTACAAGTAGAGTGCCTTGATCAGTGCAGTGTATTTTCTCGGAATTCCCTTTACAGCCAAGCATCGTCAGAGAACCTCTCGGTCGATAAAATAAGGGCATAACCCCATAAGTTATAAATCATCGGAAGATAAATTTGACCTAATATATCTTATCATCTTTCTCACTTGATTTATTATTACAGCCGTTGCTTATATTTGTTGTATGAAGTATCATTATCTGTTTGTTTTCCCTTGTTTTCAAGGATTGGATTATTAACAATGACGTGGATGGACGACCTATTAAAATATTAGCTTCCAGACTAAACTATCTCTGCACTTAGCATATTACATTTGGCTTCCTAAATATATATGTTATATGATTGGATGAAATGGTATGTTCACGATATTCAATTGAAAAAATATTTTCAAATATTATGTTGTTCTGATGTTTTTAATGTTTTCAATGATTCTTCAACTGATGATGCTGATGATAAAATATATATTAAAATGAAAGCCACAAAATTTGAGTACCATAAATTAATTGTATCTTTCCACTTCACATATCATTCTGAGTGCACTGCCATTTTGTGGTCCATTCTTTTCAATTTTTTTTAATCAATGCCTTCCTGGCAATCAACAATCTTAACTGTGCAAATTGTTTCTCTCTCAAGAATCTAAGTCACATTCGAGTAAAATTTTATGGCTGCTTTTATACTGTCTACTCAGCTTTAATCGTTATCCTCCTCTTGTAGTGAGATTAATATGCGTCTGTGGCACAGTGGTAGAATGTTCACCGACCACGCCTTCACTTCACTAAGCCACTGATAAGACTAGTAAAGTGGGGGAAGGTTGGGCATGAGACTAGCTAGCAACCCCATCCCATAAGGGTAAACTCTGCTGCTACAGAAACTTTAAGCCTCTAGCTTGAAGCCGTAAATGTTCTACTGGGAACGTAAAGGAATAGAAAAAGTGAGATCAACATATTATGTTGCATAGTCTTATCATTTTTTCAATTAATCAAAGCAATAACAGTGACACTTGTGGTGGAATAGAACAGATCCACTTTATTTCATCAACATCTGGCTAACTACATACAATCGCAATAATGAAAGTTATTGGTTTACTATTATAATCTTAACATTCTTTAGTTCATTAGAGAATGATAATAAAAATGGTTTTGATATGTAGAGGCATTGAAATGTGAAGCTAGTAAACTATAATGAATGGATTATCGTAATTATGTTTGTGCTGAAATCAATGTTTCTCAAAGAAACAAAAGATAAAAGGAGAGATGCAGGGTATTGAGAAGCACAAGTTATAAGATTACGTAAGTCATTGGAAAATTGTTTATATATATATATATATATATATATATATATCAAGTTTCAAATGTCAAATAGCGGTTACCGCCGTGAACTTCATTCAATAGGCTTAGACTTTATTGTGTGTTTAGTATCTGAGAGCAATTGGACATGTCTACTTGATATCCTCTGTCAATCAGTAGTTGGGTGTCACATAGCTGCACTTTTGAAAGATTCACCTCTCCTTGGGCACAGACTTGAGCACTGTAGTTGTATGTAATGCTGAAGCACCACATAGTATGCTTATGATCGTTGAATCTAGAACCTATATCAGTCAAACTAATCCCCCCATGATTATTACAAGAAGACTTGTCTCTTTTCTTGTAAACTGGGATAGTCAGTGACTTACGATAGTCTGACCGAACCATCTCTAATTCCTAAACATTACCTAATATCATAGTTAGCCCATACAGCAGTTCCTCCCCACTGTCCTCAAGCATCTCTGGTGTCATTCTGTTGGGTCCTGTTGCTTCGACTAATTTCAAATTAGAGACAGCCTTTGTTACCTGATTGAGGTATGGAGGACCGATATCTCTATCCCATTCAGATAGGTTTTGCATGGTAGACAAGTTAAGTGTAGCTGGAGAGGCCGGTAATAGTGTTATTCTTCTTCAAAATAGCCCCTCCAAAGTTCCAGTCATTCACCCTAAAGGCTAATTAAGGTATCGCTTTCCTTGGAGATTGTCTTATTTATAATTTGCATTTTAAAACTTGTTTCCCTAATAGTAAGCCTAAATAGTTGTCTCTGCTATCGTGTGTCGCTGATACCCCCTTCCTATCACTTTCGTTTTTGTTGCGAAAACTTTCAATCAGTTTATGTTCAAACAACTTTCAGTCGTCATCATGCTGGGCGTCCCCTGGAACGAGTGTTTTTCACGAGCCAGCGAGTTCTAATAAAGCAGTAGGAATCTACTGGTATTTTCTAACCTTTGGTTTTAGGTTATGAAAAGTCTCTAACCACTGTTTCTGCAGTTGCTTTAGGTGTAAACTGATGATGAGTCCCATATTAGGAAGAAACAGTTATCCATTGACCCAGTAATACATCAGTTTAATGATCTAACTTGATTATATAAAGTCATCATCAATTATTAGTTTTAACCCCTAACTGTTAACTCTCTTTCTGTATGTTCTATCTTTCTTTCTTTCCAATCAATTCTAGACTCATCTAGAATCATACATAAAAGAAATAGTTCGTAAAATATTAATCTCTTCCGGTGAACCATTCACTACATCAGATATTATTGTTGATATAATCTATGAGTATATATGTAGAGCTGTCCACTACATTCGTATGCATTTATCTACAAATCTACCTGATTTACGTGATCTATTAATCATGTGCCGTGATCAACCGATTCGATTGACAAGAATAGTAAAATACTTCCGTACAATCTCTCAAAGTTCATGTATTAAAATGGCTGATGTAGAGGGTATTGATGAACAGTTGTCATCATTCGTTAAGGATCATTATGATATCGATGATGATAATGATGATGTTGATCGTGATGGTGGCGGTGAAGAAGACGATGATTGTAATATGAGCAATAATAATAATAATACGGAGAAGGAGGCAAACGGTCTTCGTGGTGGTGATTCAATCCTACTACAAAATTCCAAATTAGTCAACTCTCTTCTCTCCAATGAAGATACAAATTGGTTACGATTAAACAGTCTACTTGATCAATTGTCAATACCATCACCTTGTCAATCTGAATTATTTTGGCGAAAATTCAACCCAAAATTATTACAAATTTATGAAAAGATAAGTCAAGGCAGATCGCTACGCTTGTTGAGAATTGACTCAAAATCGTGTTGTTCAACAGTTGAAGAATTTCTCGCTTTTAGTCGATTAAGACAATCAGCTAGTTTTACAAGTATAACAAGATCAAGGAATTTTGAAAAATTTTGGTATTGGCTTTTCTATTATCCATTGAATGTGAATAACAAAGATACTACGATAAAAAAGAAGACAAAAGAGGCGATATCCTCATCATCACCAGGAACACAAACACAAACACCACCCGCTTCACCAATTCTATTGACAAGCAAGGAAATGAGAGAATATTATTTGAAAATGAGAACTAAGAGTACTTCTTCGTCGTCTGCTCGTGCTGAAGCCATCACTGCCACTGCCGCCGCCGCCACTACTACTACTACTACTACATGGGATGCACCTCTCCATGAAGGTCTACTTATCGTTGCCTACTTGTTAACTGGTGATATTCTAGATGTTATTGATATGATATTATTTAACCGACAAAAGTTGGACATCAATTTATCCTCACCGATTACACCAATTGAAGTTAAAGAAGTATTGAGAGTTTTTAGAACTGTATTATATCCAGTGTAGTGTTTGCGTTAGTGTGTTCATGTGTTAACGTTATCGTTGAGTGAGGACACTACTCTTTATGCATTTCAATCATGTGTATCTACATACATTTACATATCGTTATAATAGATTCATTTTCTATTAAAATAAAATAAATAAAGAAAAAAAAACAATTAGATTTTATGCATAGCTTTGCACTTCTTTTTGATTTGTCTATTCATCGTTATGCGCTGAATTCATTTTTGTACATAATTTGATAGCAGTTGGAAAGTTCGTGTAGTTGCGCGTATTGTCTATCAAAGTCACAGTTACATCCAGTTAATTTTACGTCATCTGTAGCATTGTTGAGGTGGATTATTATCATTGTTAATCCATTTGGGTCCTGATTGAAGCATAGGGATTCCACAGCACAACCTGTAACGATAGAAGACAAGGGCCAGGTAACAGATCGCTTATTGAGAAAACCAACAGATATATATAGACTTTTATGTACATTATTATTCGTTATTGTTAGCAGAGAAGCGACGCCTTCTGATTGGTTGTTTCCCTGTTGAAGGTTATTCTTTCATCTCTTTGCTGCCGTTTCTGAGACAGTCCGGTGATATACATCTGCGAACCGTATCCGCCTACGCTGTCTGCTGTGGTTGGTTGTTCAGTTCCTCAAGGTCAGGCTTTGTTCTTGTTTTTTTCTCTTGACTCCAATTCGGGACGTAAACATAGACGTGAATTTTTGTTTGCAATTTTGGCTTACAGAGATAGCTGTCACCACACACCTCCATTTCATCCTCTTCTCTTCAGTCTTCATTAGCTGGCCCCACAACTGCCCATTAGCTCTCATATCCTCCACTTCACCGTCGGATACTGGGTTCCACATAAGGGTATGCCTGGCGCCTGATGTCATTCACTGGTCGTCTCCTCGGCGTATTTCCAATCCATCTGTATTTCATGGAGGATTTAATCATGAGCTGACATCAGTTAGAGAACCACTGGAAAACCAACTGGGAGTACTGGATAGTCGTTTCGTCCTAGTTTGGGACTCTTCACAGTACGCACCCACCGGGATTCGAACCCAGGACCTTCTGGTTACAAGGCGAGCTCGTATACCATTAAGCCACTGGGGCCCGATCCAATGGTCTTTGAATTCTAACTTCTGCCAGTTCACGACATAGCGCGACCGCTTCGCCATTTGTATTTCCCAAGGGCATATTTGTTGAGCAATAGGTTGTTGGATTTGTTCGTTCTCAGACTTCTTTGTTGGTGAGTCATTTCTGTTCAGTCGGTCATCTGCTCTTCAGCATAGAGCCAATAAAGGCAACTGTGTTGATAGGAGGTTGCAGTAACCTGTACAAAATGCCAGGTCTGCGAACTATATGCAAAACCACTAGTGACAAGAAATTAGTGTTGATGATCTGAATCCTGTGCTTTGTACTGTACTGTACTGTAATGAGTTCAGCAGATTTCCACACTGTGATTTCAGAGTAACAAATGTCTGTCTTGCTTTTCCGATCCTGGGTTCGAAATCCTCGTGTGTGTGTCTCCTGCCTGTATCATAATTATTATTTCCTTTAATTCCTAGAGGAACATTAGGCTTCAGCCGCGCGTCTCCATTGCGTTTGGTCCTCTGCTAGAGTTTTCGCCTGGCTCCAAGTCTGCTCAAATGCTTTCATCTCCTCTTCAGATGACCTTCTCTATGTCACCCTAGCACTGACGATCAACTCTCCGTTTCCCTTTCGGGTTCCACTCGAGGGCTTGTCTAGTGGTGTCACTCACTTGATGGCCAATCCATCTCCATTTCTTCCTGCCTATTTGTTTCACAATCGGTTCCTTATGAGTTGCCCCCAGAGATCCCTGTTCCTGATCTTTTCTGGCTGGCCATCTGATCTTGAGTATTGAGCGAAGACAGCTGTTGATTAAGGTTTGTAGTTTGTTTAATGTGCTCTTTATGACGCACCAAGTCTCTGATCCGTATAGTAGCACTGACCTTACAGTGGAGTTGAAAATCTGGATCTTATATTCGTTTTCACGCTGAGTGCTGTTGACTTCCACACAGACTTGAGAGTAGTGGAAGCTTGTCTTGCTTTTCCGATCCTTGTTTTGATATCCTCGTCAGTTCCGTGTGTAGTGGAAACGGTGCTTCCCAGATAGGTAGTTAGGTAAGGGAGGTTGTTTCTTTCAGGTTCCTCCCATTTATGCTGATTGTTGTCTGTTGTTGTTGCTGTCGGCCAGGAATTTTCATCACCTCTGTTTTCTCTATGTTCGCCTGAACTCCTGTCTTCTCTGGATGCTTATTTTGTCAGCTTGTTGCTTTTCATTGGCATATCTTCCAGTTTGTGGGAAATCAGACATGTATCATCGGCAAGGTCTATATCCTCCAAGTTTTTTGTGTGAGTCCATTTTATGCGTAGGTAAGTAAAAGAGATGACATCCTTTAGATTTCAATTGCTGATAATGATTGGTGCTGGTTGTTGGTTGTTGGGTATCTTCAGAACTTGTGTCTTTTATGTGAACTGGACTCCAGACTGTGTATCCGATCATCAGTGTACACACTAATAATATTTCATAAGCATCATATGACACCTGGTGGCTGATGGAATATCCAAGGTTTTAATCAAAGTGCACATACACACACATGCACATATTAACTGTACTTTGATGTGGTTGTGTTCTATGAGCTGGATGGTTTATACTTGTGAAGCTTTCATTCCCCTACTAGGCAACATGTTCAGCGCATACACTTCAATCTGTTGAAGTGAGCTTTTAGATTTCTCCACGAGTTTATTAGTCATCTCTCCTGATAGGTGACCTTGAACATCATGATTGGTTATTTTTGTGTGTTTTCACACCTTCTAAGCTGCTTGTATTGGAAATGATTGTTTCCTTGACTTGAACTTTGACCCTTGGTGTGTGAGATTTCCTTCTCATCGGTTGGTTATGCAAATGAGTTGTGCAACATGACATTTGTCTGAGTTCTACTGCATTTTTAGCAGCACGGGGGGGGTGACAGTGATGGGGGTGTTCTTCACCAAAAGTGAAAGGGCGAATACGCAAACGTCTGGTGCAGGTCCACCCTGATGGAAAAGCTATGGTGGGGTACATCAGCTTCAGAATCTGAAGGGATTGAATGGCATATGAACCTGTTTTGGTCACTGGGAAACATGTAAGTGTAACTCGTGATGCTGATCCACTACCTTGTGGGTCAGACTTCAAGTGCCAAGGTCTGGGGGGCGGGGAGGTACGGCGTTTCAAGACAACCACCTGCCTTGGTCTTAGCATTCGGGCAGTATGCCACCCCTCGCATAAACACTGCAGTTTCGTGTTGCACATCTTTCGGTACCCATAATGTACCAAGCTTGTGCTTTAATGATGATAATAAATAATCTCCTACCTCTACTGTAGGTCGGAAATCAAATAGACTGTGTCGTATAAGTTGACACTACTTTTAGACAGTGAAGCAGCAAGACATATAAGCGAACAATATTGTTTTCAATTAGAACATCAGGCTTTACTCTAATCTGCATAATTTTATATATAAAAATTTTTAACCATTGAAGGTGATTTTGTGGATCAAATAATAATAATGTGGTAAATGTTTTGAGTGTAGTTAATAACGATGATTATAATGATAAAAAATATTGATAATAAGATGGCGATAAGAATAACAAAGGTAGTAATATGCATATATGTGTATATGTAGACAATTCAATAAATAAATTAGGTCAAATCTTAAAAGTTACGTAATACTAAAAGTGAAGTGGACAGATAATCAGAGTCTAAATGAATATCACAAAAATACGAAGGAGATGGAAAATAAGAAAGGGTGGGAGGGTTTTGAATAGAATTCACCTAGTCCAAGGGAGAGACAAAGGTAGAACAAACTTCTTTTGTTGTATGCAAAGACGAGGATTGCTCTCTCGAATTAATTCCCATAGTTTCGGCTATGTGTAAAAGACGAATTCGAATTTCGTTAGAAAGGCTCGGTGGAATGTGATAGGTAACTTTGAAGGCACTATTTTTGTCCACTTGGTGACCGCTATCAACTTTTAGATTTTATTTGACCTTTTCGGAACCATGAAGGAAGATGCTCGTTAATGCGTTTGTTAAGCTATCTAGTTGTTCACCCTATATAGCTCTCTCCACAGGAGCAACTAAATTTATAGATACACATAGAAGTAGCACAGCTAGGTAGCTTATCTTTCACTTGGGCAGTCATAATTGGCCCGCTGGGAAATGACAAACAAAGGGTGACGGCAGTATAAGTCCGTTTTATCGCTCTCGATAATCTCAGATGTAATACTTCACTAGCCACATCCCCATTAAATTGCAATTTCATAAACAGTTGCTTCTTTTCAACTGTTGTTAGTTGCTCTTTATTGTACTTGGGGTTCATGTGTCTCCTTACAGATCTACTAGGATAACCCATTTGGACCAGCGTATTTTAGATGTATCCTACCTCGTTTTCTAGGGAGTCATCTGTATAGATACGTCTTGCTCTATTCGTTAGGCGGCATCTGACTCAATTGATTTTGTATCGGATTGGTACAAAACTGAGGAAATGTGTATATTGTCCTACAGATGTAGGTTTTCTATAAACATCTCTCTTGAGTGAACCATCCTCTCTTGTGCTCATTTGGACGTCCAGGAAATCTAGCAGTATACCAGAAAAAGCATTATTCTACAGAATGAAGGGCGCGTTAGGTGGCCTATACTTTTCAGTTTAGTAGTTTTAAGTGTATTAACACCGATTACAAGGCATAGTATGCGATTTAATACTATTGGATGTCTCACATGATGTTCATTCAATTTTTATCATTTGTGGAGATATGATTCACAAGCTTAAAATTACTCAGTCAGTGAGTCAGTGGGTTCGCAACCCACTTCGTCTACTACTTCAGCATGGGCAACTAAGTAGTACCACTGGTCCCCCCTATACAATAAGTATGTGGCGCATAGATAGCATGGAGCTTAAAAGACCTCGTTCAGGAATTGAGTTCAAATATGAGCAAACTTTGTCCTTTATCCAG